TAGTTTTATTTTTTTTTTTTTTTGGTTAACGGGCAAATACAGAGACTCTTTTTTTTTTTTCATTATTTCTTTTTTTTATTACTTATCAACAGCAAAACATTTAGAATCATCCAACTATTACGACATCATCAAACATATCAAAGATATCCGTACGGTTCAGACAGATATGGACACACACATTAAAACTAGGTGACCTATTTGCTCAGGCATTATGAGTTTTTTTTTTCTTTCTTTCATTTCTTTTCTTTTCTTTTCTTTCTTTCTATATTTTTTCTTTCTTTTCTTTCTTTCTTTTTTCTTTCTTACTTTATTGCTTGGGAGAAAAAAATGATATGTGGCATATGTGTGTATTTGAGTTGGAACTTCCCCAAACATGAGTTTGCACATAATTTGAATAAAATATACAGACCATTTTTCTTTCGTTCTTACTTGATTTTTTTATTTTTTTACGCCCAAGATCAGAACACGTACGCATTAGCATAATGACTTATGAAAAATATAATCGCATCTACAACGATATAAATGTGGCTATGTGGTCAACACACACACACACACACACACAAACACACACACACGTGTGTATATATATATATATATATATATATATATATATATATATATATATATATATAATGGTAAGAAATCATGTTCAGATGTTTTGTATCATGTCATAGACTGGCTACGTGTCAAAGAAGCATTCCTAATTACATGTCTGTAGGTATGTATGTATAAATTTAAATTTCATTTAAAATATAAGGTGTGCAAAAAATCTATACATTACCAGTACCAAAGATTCATCAACAGATCATCAGGCCGCAATAGGCAAAAATTTTTCTATTTGTTCCAACAAACAAACATGTACGCTTAGTTAAAAACATATATATTATTACCACTTATATTTTAAACGAAATTTAAATTGCGCTGAATTATTCATTTTCTGAAACATTATAGAGCATGTTTTTACACAGTAATCTGTAGTTTTCGATGTCTCAGGTGTCGTTCTGACCGCTTTCGTTATATATATATATATATATCTTATGAAATGGACAAAGTCCGACTATTATTTTATGACATTTTTATGTTTATACATTCATTTTTTTTTATAGATAAAAATATTTAAGTAAATGCTCTGTTTATAATAAACAGTAATGACTGTCCGCGAAATTTTCATAGAAGATATTCGTCCTCCGACAGGAATCGAACCTGTATCCTATACGGATCCGTCATATAGCCTGACGTGCCTTTAACCGTTGGGCTACAGAGGAGCGTTCGGTTAGCTAGGACGATTTTACTGTCTTTAAACTACAATCTTCCATGATTCTCTCATGTAAATTCATATCTGCTCATGGCGTATCCAAATGTAAACAAAAGACGTCACATATGAAAATAAGGTATAAACATTTTTTTTTAAATTAATTGTCGGACTTTGTCCATTTCCTAATGTGCGACGTCATTTTTTACATTTGGATACGCCATGAGCAGATATGAATGTACGTGAGAGAATCATGGGAGATTGTAGTTTAAAGACAGTAAAATCCAAAATATTATATGTGTGTGTGTGTACATGCGTATGTGTGTATATATATATATATATATATATATATATATAATTGCCTTTATGTATGTATACGGGAGAATGTTATGTAAATTTTGTTATATAACAGACAAAATTATGTAAGTGAATAAAAAATGAAAAATAATGTCTCTGTAAGCTGTTTCGTCGTTTAACCGAGTATGACTTTCGACGAAGTCTTTTTAAACGACGAAAAGAGTTAGATGGAATTTTTTTCAGATTTGCGATTCCTTCAGCCATTTTATGTATGAACACTCCTTTAATAAAAGAAAAGAGAGAGAGAGAGAGAGAGAGAGAGAGTGAGGGGGAAAACCTGATTGCTTACTGAAGTAAATTGGACAAGTTACTGTTTCCTATATTTTCTGCTTCCCATTCAAACGTGCGGAATTATATTGTTTTATTATTAACAGGTGTCAATTCATTGTACCTGTACAATCCCTAAAACTTAAATAAAATTCGCTAAATTAGAGCAATGTTGATTGTAAAACTGTCAAGTTGCCTGTCTGAAAATCATTCGGGGGATGTATTTTTACGCTTAAGCAGCCGTGTGTGACAACTCTCAAGTCAGTTTAAGTCAGTTTTGTCAAAGAAATATGAATAAGCCGTGAATGGCAATGTTCAATTCATACTAGAAGGATTACACACACAAACACACACACACATACACACACAAACACACACTCTCACGCACACATAATTAGTTTGTGATATATTACTGATTTCTATTTTTAAATAAACACTCACTCACACACGCATACACACACGCGCACACACACACACACACACACACACATATATATATATATATATATATATATGAGAAATTTCTAAAAAGCTTTCTACACGACCCACTTCCCCAATTAAATATTTCAACATACAGACATTATAGTTATCTTGTAAATGTTCAGCACAACAGCGTGATTTACG